TCTGCCAATGTTGTCAAATTTTGAATCTATTAATTGCGAGAGAATTGTATTTAAGGTCACATGTTCCTTGTTGGCCCTCATTCGATAAATGGTATCACGAATTTCAAATTTCTTTCCGTCTGGAATATCTTTCGTTTTCAATGATGGGCGAGTTTTGCGGTGATCTTCTTTCGGCAGTTCACTATTGTGATTTTGTAATACTCCTCTTAATTTGGTTTCACTAATTCCTAGAGCATCGCATACGCGTTGTTGTACAAACATTACCGATTTTAAAGGACCGCCATTTTCTTTTTCATCCGTAAAATACTTATGTACACTACAAATTAGACTATCCACATCTAACACACGTCTAGGCATTTTTAAAATTTCCACTAAATTTACAATACATATACAATGTCAACACTTGCAAAGAATCAATTCAACTGCAATATTTGTAACAAATTTAGTACCTACCTTAATGTTATTTTAATTTAAATCTGACAATTAGGGCAATTTTACCTAATTTCTTGGGAAGTGGCTTATTGGAACTGGTTGTCAATGACTAATTTGCATAATTTTGTTAATCCGAAACCCGCGTAAGTATAGCGAACAGACTGTAGGTCTAATTCTTTTCTGGTTATTTTTTCACATTTCTTTTAACCGGAATTTTTTTTCTTCCGGGTTTTTTTTTCACAGTTTACCAATTAATAGATCTAAGTGGTTTGAAAAGAAGGATTTTGAAATTTTTTAACTATCAGGATAACAGTTAAGGGTGCATTAAAAATACCCAATTCTAAAATTCGAATATATACAGGGTTGGAATAATGTGTGGAACCAAGAAAATGTCTTTAAAACGGAAATTATTGCATTGCTAAAACTTTACAGGTTTTTTGTTACTGTGCTTCCAATTTAACCGGAAGTACTCTCAATTTCTTTTAATAAATGTAAAGTGCTGCGTCAAATTTTTACAGATACTCATACTAAACCGAGTCCTACGATAACAACAAAAAGTTGAATTAGATGGATTATGCATGGGGTTGCCATAGTTTCTCCAGCTTCTATCGGGACATAAACCATTTTTTTTTTTGAGAAATTCAAATTTGTAAAAAAACGATTAATGCATGAAAAATACATACACATAACTTATTATTATAATATAACATAATATACATACATACAAATGATATTAATATCTACAAAAACATAATTAAGAAGTAATTGAACTTGAGTTTTAATAATATTTTCAGAATATTTTGCTTGTCTTAAAACTTCTTTTTGATTTTTAATGTATTTATAAAATTCTGCGCATGTCAGTTTAAAGTTATATGTATTGAACATTGCAAAATGGCCAATAGTTTCTAGCACCAATTGGTTCCTCTCGTCTCGAAAGAATAATTTAGTATAAAAAATATTGATACATTTTGAGAAGTTCAGATTTTTGATCTAAATTCTCGGGTTCTTTAGAATCGGGACTTTTTGCAGTCTAGTCGGGACATGAAGGTCAATAACGGTGACAGTCCCGATATATCGGGACGAATGGCCACCCTAATTATGCACCATTGGTCATTACAGAGACCTGCAAAAAATATTTGCTTAGTTCCGTACTTTATCCAAACCCCGTATGTTCATAAAAAAATATAATAAATGTAACCCATTTTATAGATCTATGGACATATTATGGTCTCCCCAACAAAAGATATAAATGATCAATTAATATAACTAGCACCTGCTAGCTAGTTATTTAGTAACGTGACTAATAACAGTGATTCGAAAGTGATTATTCTAGGAATTTGTCTGAGTGAGCTACCTAATTGTTTTTCTAATTCCAAATTTCTAAGTAAGATAGAAAACCGTTTAGGTAGGTAGGTAGGTACCTGGTTCTGCATTTCGAATTGAGGGTTGTTGAATTTCCATGAATTATAAAATTTCCTAAGGAAAGGTAATAAGATTCGTTTGATTAACTCAAAACATTTAATATCTCAAAAATACCTATTACTTGAAATGCCTTAAAGATAATTGTAACAATAACCATTCAAGGTCATCTATTTATAGCAAATAACATTAATAACCCATAGGCGTTACAGGCCTTTCGAACGGACCAATTCTTCAAAATCTCGTCTTCTCCTAATTCTCCATTTCCTCCCTTTCTCCATGACAAAGACGACTGTTTCCATGATTTGCTTTTGCGTCCCCGTTCGTAGTCTTAAAATTTAATGTTAGTAATCCCATAACGCTGACGGCTACGTGCTATTTCCGTCTCTCACTATGAAGCTCACTCCCCTACTAGCGTTGCACTTGGACCGGTCCGACCGCATTTTGCGCCGTACTTTTCCTTTGCAACAGCGATAGAAGTTGGATAAAAAATTGTTCTCTCGTTCTCTCGAAACTTGAGTCTCGAAATCTCTCTCTCGTCGTTATCTGTTACTTGCTTAATTCCTCTTTTGGCGATAGTATATTTGAGTTTGGGAGTTTTCTTTCTCGGTGTTAGAACATTTTGCTTCCGATTTTTTAACTTATCGATTTTTTACCAATTAAGGGCCGATATTTTTACCTCTGAGTGAAGTTACACGTAGGGTTACTCCTACTTGACAGAGGTAAAAGGATTGGCCCTAAATGTAGGACCAACCGTTCTTTACGACCGCTTTCAAGCAATCATCTGCCGTGGACACAAAACCTGTCAAAGTGACAACTGCATTAGTTTTTCATCGATCCTTGATCCCTAATTAGTCAATTATATGCCATACCTATTTGATAAATGTAATAAATGTATAAGGAATTAGTAGGAATCTCAACTAGCTTGTAACTGAAATAAATTTAAAATCCAAATTTAAATTACAATTTAGTTAGTTGACGAGCGCAGAAAATATAATCTTGACGTCACTTACAAGGTCATACTTAAATCAGTTTATACAAACAAGTTGCATAGGTATTCATTGTATTTTCATTTTGACATGGAAATTATTTGTGGAAGTAAAAATGTTAGGTAGGTACTAGGTAGGTACCTTCTTTTAGTTTTGATTTATACCTAGTTTACGAATGTATCTAGCCATTTTAGTTGATGAAATGTAGTGTTTGATACCTAAGTGGCATTTTTGTTTTTATTATTTTTTTATACAATATGATTGACCAATATAACTTTTTTGGTCTTTTCTGACGTCAGATGACGAAAATAATGACGTCATGTGTAAGTTAAGATGACGGTTTAGTGAAACTTCCGAATTATGTCGAAATATATAGTCATAATGACCTCGAAATAATGTCTAAATAACAAACAAAACGACGTCAAAATTAATAAGTCGTTTTTGGATGGTGGGAAGTCACTGCGTAATTTAAATGTATTGCAATTATTACGAAAATATTTATTTATTCTTCTCTTATTCTTTATGTATATGTACCTAGTTATAAAAAAATTTAATAATTGATGCAGTTTCAGTTCCTTTCTCAAAAAGATAAAATGTCAGTTATAGGAAGATTATTTAAACTATAAAGTTAAATTATTTCACTTTGGCTGTGTGACTGACCAATAAGTTAGTTTTCAAATGTTCAGAGACTAACAAGAGTGGTAATTTTGTATTTTAATACTTTGACATATACAGTTATTAATAGATAAATATACAGTTTTACAACAAGTATTGATGACGAAAAGATAACGTCAAAATAACATTTTATTGCAAGCGTCATAGTGACGCCATATGATGTCGAAGACCTACAGTGACCAAAAAGGGCTTCTCAGGCGTCATAGTCCTACTTGGGAAATCCTAGAAGTCAATTCCCCAATCCATCAAATAGTTGCTTACAACTATGATTAAAGTCGCCGTTACGTGTGGCATATATATTTGTTTCCCAGCGTCACTTTTGGAACAGTTAATTAGAACTCAACAGTGATGTGATTACCTAGTGGAGTGCCTAGATCCTCAGGAAAATTATTCCAATTTATAGCAGAAAAACTAAATTTAGTGATCGAAGCTCTAGCAACCTTTCCTATTATAATTCCATGAGAACATTTTTTTTTTAATTAAATTACAAATATTTTCTTAATTACTTTCTATGTGTTAAATAAATCTTAAATTTTATTTAAAAAGAGATTAAAATAGGCACATACACCACGTTTTAATCTATACGGCGTTCAAATCTTTAGTTAAATAATAAAATATGTCATAACCTGGTTAGGTAAAATCTCGGGTAAAATATAAACTTTTTAAAAAGATTTGATACATAATAAATAGGCCTTCTTCAACAACGATCAGAAACCAGTCACTTCCTCAGGATTTTGCGCAGGAGATAATTTGGCAACCCCAATAGTCTACTGCGCAGAATCCTAGTGTCAGTGACTGGTTTCTGATCGTTGTCTTCAATGAAAATGGCCGTTCTTAGTGACAATTTAAGCATCCGTTCTGTTAAATAGGTAGGTTAGTGAAATAGTTTTAGGGTTTCTACTAAAGTTTTTATTGTTACTTTTAGCCAATTATTGACATAAAAACGGGTAGATAATAAACCACCCACAGAGGAGTAGCTGTGTTTCATAATTTAAATTATATGCAATATGAATACTTTAAGCACGCCACTGTTTAAAGAAAAAAGAACCTCAAAATTAGTGACTAAAAACATCAATTTTATCTAAACCATAAGCAATTAAATGGATAAGAATACCTATTAGGTATGTTGTTTTTTTTAATCGATAGGTACTTAGTACTTATAACCACAAAATTTGAAAAACCTCAAAATTTGTAAAAACCACAAAACCCATTTCCATTAAAATTATAAACCTTAACTTTAGCCCCCACTCTTAATTTTATTATCACTCCCACTCTTTAATTTTATCACTAATTATTAGTATTACTAATATGTTTTTGTTTATTTTATGATTATGACTAACCTAAGTGATAATTAATTTCTTGACGAAAATGGTCGGCTAGTTACGGTACAGATTGCTTTAACCGAGTATTACCGAAATAATGAGGTTATGTCAACAACAAACAAACCTAAAAACCTTCCTAATAAAGTTAATTTAAAAACCTTACCTTAGCTAATGGACCGATACAACATGGATTTTCAACTACTTTTCACACCGAAAACACATTTATAAAATTCAGAGAACCGCCACTGTCGTTAAACGTAAAATAGGAACAGGCAGAGCGTGCATGCAGCAATTCCAAGCACAAGAGGAGGTCTACTGGCCAGGCCGTCGCTGTTGCCAATTCTTGCTGACGCTCGCGCGCACAATCGAACTTTCACAGTACTTGGTTTGTCAGCAGAGCATTTAACTTCGTCAGTATCGTTATCGTATGATAATTTTTGATGAGGTATGTATCAACAGCTAGGGAGTTTTGACAATCCATTGGAGAACAGAGCAAACCTAATTGGTGGAAGTGGACCGATAATGAAATTTCCTTTTAACTTTTATACCTATAGGTATCTTGTCAAAAACATAGCCAATTATACCTACCGATCTAACCTACTTGGGTAGGTACTGGAAAAAATATCTTTGAAATTACTTATTTTGAATCTAAGGCCATTAATTTTCTATACGTTTTTTATATGAATTACTTGAAATTGAAGGATTACAATTAATTTGAAATAATGAAAGATTTGGATTAAATTTTTATTTAATAGTGAATTAAAGATAAAAATTAATTTTTTTAGGGAATTTAGGTTTTTTTGTGGTTGGTATTAGATAGAATCCATTTGCCACATATGCTACTTATCTACTTATAGATATGCCTATATTTTTTTCTACCATTTCTTTTTATCAATTTTAGACTTTCTAAAATCATAAGAATACATATAAGTAGGTGGGTAGGTGTGCTCTATGGAACGGGCAGACATAATGACTTCACCCGGGCATTTAGGTACTATCGGGGTGGTAGAAGCCCACCAAATAGTCACTTCCAAAAAAAATGGGACTTCTAGAGACATCTCTCGGCAACGTTATTAACCTGCAGGACTTTCACCTGAGACTTTTGCTATGCCTAGACATCCCCCAGTGACAACCAGCAGGTTTTTGATGAGTTGATGACCTGCAGGACTTTGGTGAGCTGGAAAGATGGCTGTCCCTCAACCAATTGAGAGGCAGGTCCTATATGTTCCTGGAGGATGCACTATGAGCCTAAGGGCTGTGGAGCAACCCACTTTCATCACCTTACAGAGATGTATAAGTAGGTAAATGAGTACGATACTGATTTTATACCTATTTTTTCTTTTCAAATTGAGAGGCAGGTCCTATACGTTCCTGGAGGATGCACATTGAGCCTAAGGGCTGTAGAGCAACCCACTTTCATCACCTTACAGAGATGTATAAGTAGGTAAATGAGTACGATATTGATTTTATACCTATTTTTTCTTTTTAAATTATTAATCATTCTATAAATTAATCCAAATAATGTTTATTTATAAATAATAATTATTTATTTTACTTGGTGTCGTCGACTACATCTATTGTACCTACTATGCTCATCAAGGGAAAAATAAGTTTTATTGTTCAAAGAATTCAGTAACCTAATTTTGCAATAAAGCATTATTAATTTTATAAGCATAAATACCAATATCAATAAGATAAAACCAATCAAGGACGGCGGGCGACTCCAGGATGAATTTTTGCGGGGGATCATTCCCTTTTTAACATTTTTTTTTTAATAAAAGGCTCATGGAATGTAGAAATAAATTCATAATATAAACATTTCAATTTACTGACTCATTTAGATATGTTAATTTGCATAGGCACCTCCCTATTTGGTCTAAGTTTTGAGTAACTACGCTAGGGTGACCATAGGTATAGCATTTCGCTGTATTGTACAGCATTTTCAAAGTCCGTCCTGGATTCGATCTTGTACAGCAAACGTACAGCAAAATACCGTATTTGTCCTGCTAAACGCTGTATTTGTCTAGCAAAATACCAATATCGTTCAGCAAATGTATAGATAGGTAATTTACTGGAGAATAACAAGACACATGGGGAGCTAAAAAAAGGTTATCTTGTCTCTAAATTACTTTATCTATTTTTGAGTTTTACTTTTAGTTGGGGAAGTTAAAAAAATTCCGCACCTCCCCCGTCCAACATTGGTCAACAGAAAAGTGGTCACCCTAAACTACGCCAATGATTTTTTTTGCATACAAATCAAATTACCTATTTCGTTAATGCAATGTAAAGTTAGTTATCTACGCAATTTTGTATACCTATTCTGAATTTTAAAGTTTTTTTTTACATTCCAAATCGGCTTGTCATACCTAGATATGTGGTTCTAAAACTTCAATGCCTCAAATCGTCTTCCAAATATTAAATTGCTGTTTTGGGAATTGATCGACAGACAACGACCACCAAGAGAACCCGAAACAGGGCGCATGCTTGTACCAAAACGAGGGGAATATACGGCAAAACCGCTTTAAAACCACTTCAATCCTATACCTATCCAATCCCAAGCGATGGCAAAGATCGTAGTTTATTTATTTATTCCCCCTTCACGTTACCCGACCGTTCAGTTGCGGCGTTGCCAGCGCCACTGAGTTGCGCGTTACCAAGCTATTTTTATCTGACCTTTATTTCACCTTCCAGAAAAGAGAGATAGTCAGCTGTATTGAGGACAGTAACAATGGACATATTCTATTTAATTAGTCGCTTTTGAGGAGGGGAGAGATTGGTTAGGTAGGAATGTATGGGTTGGAAAGTTTTTCTTTTGGCAAAACGCTTCCAAGGACCTGATGATGTTTCGGATTTCGAGTTGGACTTCTTCAGAGCTTGTTAAGCGGAATATTAATTAGAACAGGTTCTTAGTTCTATAAATACCTATGATAAAGATACTTTACTATGTTACAAGGGGCGCGCCAATAGTTGTCGGTTTAAATTATTCTAGGTATCTACCTATTAATATGAATTGAAGAAATTATAGTTTTAAAATATAAAACTCAATACCTACGAAAAATAAATGTACGAGGGGCGTACCATATTTTTCTAACCACTGGCGCTTAATAAATTGAAAACAGCCTTTTTTATTCTACTTTTATAGTTATTAGCATTGTGGGGCATTGTGTAAGTCGATGTAGGTTTTTATTATTTCCTGGAACCACGTAAGCAAAAATACCGCTAAATAAGAACAATGCGTGTCGAATGGAAAATCGAACATTGGAATAAAGAATAATTAGGTACCTACCTATGTTGCGGCTAGCATTTTATTGGCTAGGCAGTAAAAGTGCGGCAGCGTAGAAGGGCCACATATTTTTTATTTTTTTCTGAAATTTCGTCTTAGAACACGGAACACCAAAACGTTCGACCTTTGGTTTCCATACAAGACGGACATATTATTTGTCCTTCATTTCCATTCAGAAGTGGATTTTGTTTTTTGGATGTGAATATTTTTTATGACATCGTTTTTCGAAATATGACGTCATCACCATTTTTTTGTTAATTGCGCCATTTAAAAGAGATACAAGCAACTGATTGCTTGAAACCAATTAGAAAACACCTCACTTTACCCCTCTCTCATCCTCTTGGCTAGGGAGGGAAGGAGGGAAAATTTAAAACGCTATACAAGACGCAATTTTTATCCGATACAAATGAAATTGGGACATTAGGGACTAGACCTGGAAATTAAATTAAATGAAAAATATTATGCAGGAACCAAAGAGGGCGAGATTTTTGGTACTACTTACGACACCCCCTGTCCAAAAGTCGACAAAAGTGAAAATCTGAGGATATTCAGAGGATCCGAATTTACCCACCCTTCCCCAAGATCCCCAAGTCCTTCAAGAGTAACCTGTAAATACGTCATTAATATTTATAGCTCGAAAATAGAATGCTGTGTTTGAACAATGAATTTCGTGTTCTAACACGGAATTACAGATTTCCGCGTTCAAACACGGAATTCCGAGTTTGAACAAGGAATTTCGTGTTCAAATACAGAATGCCGTGTTTGCATAAGAAATTCCGTGTTTAAATACGGAATTCCATGTTTGAATAAAGAATTCCAAACAAGTAATTAAAAAATTTAAAATGTGGTTCTTTTACCATGCCCTATAAAATTGAAAAATATCTTGTTTTCTTTGTTGTTATTTAGAGTCTAATAAGCTATACATGTCGCTGAAATGGCAAATTTAATGCAGAGGTAGTATAAATCGCAAAAAATAATTTAAAAAAATATTACTATTAATAATTAAAAAAAAAAATTGCTAAAATAGCAAACAATATTATTCATTTATTAATTAACCTCCAAAATATGTTAGGAGGGTGTGAGAAAGGGGATAAACTTTATCTAATAGGTGCTGTGAATGAATATCGGTAGGATTCGCCAATTTTGCCATTTCCACTTTTATATTTAAACGGTAACGCAATATAAAAGATAATAGCTAGGACTAGTAGCTGGTAGCAGAACTTTTTAAGTAATTTGCTTGTGTGGCCGTATTTGAAATTATAGTGATGTTTTGGTTATAAAAACCACTAATATAAACTGCACATAACAAAGACCGCTGTCAGCGAGGATCGATACGACTCCGACCTCTGCTCGTCGCACTACATACATCAGACACAGATTATGAGCGACAGGGGTCCCTGCTTTTTATGTGCATGTTCCTATTATACCTTGTTCAACTCATTGTAATTCATTAATTGGGTGATAAAAAATTATAATCTGCTATTTTATTCGTATTAAATAATGGAGCAAATTGTAATAATTGTAAAAACAGCTCTATTAAATTATTTGCTTGTTTCCTGGCTCTTTCCCATTATTCCATTATATGTCCAAACAAAGAATATTGTTATGCCAGACATTAACGGCACTGATTTTCAGTAGCCATAAGATTTGTATTGTAACATAAACGGCCCAGTGGCCGAACGTATCGCGGTGACCGAACCAGTCTGAATCAGTAGTGGTTTGTCCCAAGGGGCCGTAGTACTAGCGCAAATTATATGGCTGTCAATATTTATTTTTTATTTTAATTCAAAAATTATTATAACTGACGGGTCAAATGGCTAAACGATACATATATAAATTTATAAAAAAAATCGCGTCGTGTTATTCCACAGAAGAAAGAACATTTTATTCCAAGACAAAAAATAATTTATCGACTTACTTGACTCACTGGATTATATTCCATCCGAGCATATCTCACAATGGCTCGGCCGCTAGTATAACAATAAATTTAAAATGGTTACGTAACACATGCAGAAAATACATGT